AATTATAGTAGGATCCCTCATATGATGTAAGGTATATTCTTTAATTAAGGGATATTGCAGTCTCTGGGTCTTTGGGTTCCTCTTGGGGTTTAGGGTGGAGGAGGGATCTGGGGGTTTGGGGCTTCGAGTCTGGAGTTATGTCTTAGGGTTTAGGGTTTAGGGCTTGGGGTTTAGGGCTTAGGGCTTAGGGTGTAGGGTTTAGGGCTTAAGGTTTAGGGTTTAGGGCTTAGGGTTTAGGGTTTGGGGTATAGGGTGTATTATTTATGTTCGTTCCGGGTTGTGTAGGTACTTTCTTTCAACTTCTTGTATAATGAGGCACACTCTTCTTGGGGTCACTATGGGTGTCTGCTAGTTGCTCACATGACCGCGATTGGCTTACATGTTCTACCAGTAGTTACAGTCTGTTGAAGGTATAGTCGTTACAAGGTAGGAAGAAGGCTGCCGTAGTAATGCTGTGTTCTGTTACAGTCGGAAGCGGGTGTAGGAGATAAACAAGGGCGTAGGGTTGGCGATTAAATTAGGACCGCTGGTTGATAAGGTTTCATGGAGACTGCTGGTCAACTCAACCCCTCCTCTGCTACCACAACCCTACAGCCTAAGCCCTAAGCCCCCAATAGCAGGGATACCAGCGGTACCATATAAACTTTAAACCCTAAAACCGAAAGCGTTTACATGATGGCTCAGGGACCAGAAGAAGCCGTGACCAAATCCGCCAAGGTTCGGCTTAGGATTTATAGGGTTTAGGGGTTTAGGTGCAGGGGTTTAGGGATTTAGGGGTTTAGGGCCCGGGTTTCTAACAAAACTCTAAACCCTAAACCGCTATGGGGGAAGCTTCAACCGCAACCCGAAAACCGGCATGTTTGTACTTAGGGGCCCCATGAAGTCTGTGCTAAGGTTTGTGGCGACCCTTAACACGGTTCAGGGTTTAGGGTTTACTGTAGGGTTTAGGGTACGGTTTAGAGTTTAGGGTTTGTGGGAGTAGGGTGTAGGGTCGAGAGCAGGCTAAGGTAGCTTAAGTTAGGAAATATCCGACACAGGCTTCCAGAATGCTTCAAGCAAGGGTGGCCACGATTCCACACACCTCCAAAATCATGGTAAATCCTAAACCCCCAAAATCACCCCAAGCCCTAAACCCCCAAAATCATCATAAACCTTAGACAAGGCTGAAGCCTCACCCTAAACCCTAAACCACGAGAGCCTCACCAGGTTCTGAGCAAGTATAGGGTTTAGGGCTTTAGGGTTTTAGGGTGCAGGGTTTAGGGCTTTAGGGTTTAGGGCTTTAGGGCTTTAGGGTTTATAGTTTAGGGGTTTTGCAAACGTTGTAAACTTGTGGCTTGCGAGTTGCCCGCGGGAGAACTACCAGGTTGATGCCAGGTTAATATTGGTTCCGTGAATAGTATGCAGGTCCCTGCACAATTAATGCAGGGTTTGGGGGGTATGATATAAGAAGGAACCCTAGGGAATAGTGTCGGTGACCATGTAGGCTTTTATGTTACGTGCTTCACAAACTTCCGCCTGCTCTTTCAGGAGGTTGTTGTCAGCAGCACGTTCCTGGCTTAGTGCGAGCACCGTAGAGAATCTCGTATCAGACCAACCCTTAGGGTTTTGGGTTTGGGGCCTTAGACTAACTACTCCAAGAGAATCGGTTGCGGTGCTGGGTGCCTTTATACAAACCGAGCTATAAATTCCCATGTGCGGTGCTTTTGCGCGCACAATGCATGTCTACGAACACCCCTCAATCCCAAGCCCGTTGAGACCGCATAAATAAAACTGAAACCTTAAACCCTAAAGCGCTTTAATGGCTTACATTCCCAAAGGGTCCACGTACCATTATAGTAGGTACTTGGTAGGTATTTTGGCCCCAAAAGTATATACTATACTAGTACTTGGACCCGTTGGGATTCCAGCATCTCATGGCCTTAGACCTGTCAGACTCGGTACGTCGTCGTATGTCCACGGCGTTTGATCGACGACTGACGCCGAAGATATCAGTTTTTCGGCCATACAGCTCAGTGTTGAAGGGTGTTTGTGGGTTTTCAAACCCTCAGAACTAACAATCCAACCCTGGAGCCTCCAAAACCGGTACAAGTACACCGAAACCCCAAGTCAGAAGATGGTGTAGGTACAAGACCCGCAGAGTGCAGGTCATACCGTGGATCCCTTCTGAATTCAATCAATGACGCGAGGCATATTGGACTTTCCAGATGTTGGTGGAAGCTGAAATTCTAGCCTTGCTTGTGGGAGAATGTCGGGCATTTGGGGTTTTCGCAGTCAGCTCGCAGTGAGGATGCCATTCTATGATGTCATGCTCCTGACAGTGTTGCAACTAGGTATGGATTGTATAAAGCAGCAAGGCAGTAGTAGTAGTAGTAGTAGTAGTAGTAGTAGTAGTAGTAGTGACAGGGGCACGTGCGAAAGGCGACAGCATCTAATGTCGAAGTCTCTCCCCCGCACAAGGCAAGTAACACACTCAGAAATATTGCTAGGA